GGTTCACACCAACAGCTTCACTTGAAAATGCAAATCACTGTGAGAGAGAGAGAGAGGAGGGGAGTAAAATAACAATAAAATAACTGGGTGAGTTGTTGTTGGTTGGGAAGCGACGACGACGACGACAACGACGAAGTTGTTAAAACCATTTCAAGACGGCGGGTTCTTCTTTCTTTCCTCCCTTCCTTTCTACACTGTGACGCTGACCTTCATCGCAAAGAGCGACGCCGCTCGGTAGAAGAGGTAGAGAAAGATGAGCCCGAGAAAGACGTCCAGGGCAATGTAGCCGGTCTTGCCGGCGCCCACCGCCGCCTGCGTCCCGAAGATGACGCCCAGGACGACGGCGAGGGCGACCAGGGCGAGGAGGGCGAAGATGCTGCCGCGCCAGCGGTTGAAGCGCGGGTTGATCGTCGACTGCTTGCGACAGTGCGGACAACGGACCAGGTACGTGTCGTCGGTGAAGATGAAGGAGCCCTTGCAGTGCGTGCAGAGGATGCGGCTGTACTGGGAGTGGTGGTGGTTGTTGTGGCTGTTGTGCCGGTCCTGCTCCAGCAGGCTGTTCGGGCCAGTTTCCGCAGAGCCGCCGCCGCGCATAGCATCGGCGTGGCTGAGCGGCGACTCAGGCGTCACCATGATGATTCGGCGGCTAAAGAGAAGGTAAGAAGAAGAAGAAGAAGGTAATTTGAGTAAAGTGACCTGTAGGGTAAACAAAAGCATTTACCACTGCGGTCTGGGACAGGAGATTCGCGACGCGGTGGCATTGCACACCAGCAGACAGTTGCACGGACAGCGGACAAAGCGCCGACCGGGTGGTGCATCACGAATGGGCTAAAAAGAGAAAGATAAGAAGGGCTTAATGACAACAAGAGATGGGTGGTTAACTTACGGTGGCCTCGTTGCAGTTGTTGCACTTGACCACATGCTGCTCCTTCTTGTCGCTAATGTCAATCATCGAGCCGCAGACGAGACAGGCGAGCAGATTGTTGGACGCAATCGACTGCGGCAGATCCTGCGTGCGAATGGGCGGCACGACGATGCCTTCCGCTCCTCCGCCGGTGGAGCCATTTCGACCTGGAAGTGAAAGTGGAGAATGNGGGCTAAAAAGAGAAAGATAAGAAGGGCTTAATGACAACAAGAGATGGGTGGTTAACTTACGGTGGCCTCGTTGCAGTTGTTGCACTTGACCACATGCTGCTCCTTCTTGTCGCTAATGTCAATCATCGAGCCGCAGACGAGACAGGCGAGCAGATTGTTGGACGCAATCGACTGCGGCAGATCCTGCGTGCGAATGGGCGGCACGACGATGCCTTCCGCTCCTCCGCCGGTGGAGCCATTTCGACCTGGAAGTGAAAGTGGAGAATGTTGGGGATTAGTCATTGCGGACAGCAGTTTGCAGGGTGGTGGCTGCTGATGACCATCACCACCACTACTTCTACTACTTACTCGAATCCAAGAGTGGCTGTCGTTCCATCGTGGTGTGCTGTCGTTGTGTATTGTTGTGGTAATGATGATGGGCTGGTGTGTTCTTTGTTGTTGCTGGTGGAGATCAATACGTACGACGTTTGAGCTCGCTCAAGCTTGCAGTCAGTGACTGGGTTGTAAACACCGGGCTGTGGTAGAGATAAGCAGCGAGCAGGAGCACCACCAGAACACTCGCTGACTTGTTGTGATTACTGGTGATCGTACGGCAGAGTACGACGGTCGAGGACGTCGACTGTGGCAACGACGGCGATTGAATCACGTCGAGGAGCAGACAGCTTCGACGAGAACGAGGTGCTCGAAACCGATGAAGAAAACGGATGGAGATGCTTTGAGTGATAAGAAAACCGCTACTGCAACAGGAGACAGTTGTTTGGGGTGAGCGATGGCCACCGAAGGGAAGGAAGGCAGGCGGCAATAAAAAAAGAAGAGGACAGTGGTGAAGAGAGCAGTTCGACAGTTTTTACTTCTTCCAGGAGGCTAGCGCAGTGTGTTTCTTCTCTTCAGCCGCTCAACAGCTTCTCCGGCGATGACAAATCAGTGTACTGTGCCTGTGCTTTGAGAGAGCTGGTGACGATGGCGGCGGCGGCTGTTGGTGGTGGTAGTGGTACGAGTAGTGGACAATCTTTCCTTTTCCCTCGTCCGGGTGATCACCACGGTTGCTGCGTCGTTGTTGCTACTGCTGCTGCTGCTGTCAACTGCAGATGGTCAGATCAGCCGATGATAATCAGGTGCTGCTGCTGCTGCCGACGACGGTGGCGATTAATGCGAGGATTAAGACGAAGTAGAAGCGGTGGTCTTCGATCAATGATCACTGGTTCATCAGTGGAGCGAGTGGACTGTTCTAGAGCTGACAGCAGACACCAGTGTTCTGTCCACCGCTATTGTTGAGGCCATCATTCAAAGGTGCAGGACGCGCAGTGGTGGTAAACACAGAGAACGGACTGATGCTGCTGTTGCAGCTGAACTCGATGACTCGCAGTGGTGGAGGAGAAAGGAAAGGAGGGGAG